AGATGAATTTCATCCAAATTCTCTCTATCCAACAATTTCAAATTCTACTTATACATAAAAAAAAAAAATGATGTTAATGAATAGAAAGAATTTCTCCTCTCTTTATAGTTTTTTTCAGAGAGAAGCTCTAGAACCAATATTTTTTCTCTTGAAGAGGCTGTCCATTCTCTGCCCCATAGAGGTCGACACAGAGCTTTTTATTAGGTTAATAACCTCCTCTTTATGGTAAATGAAAACTCTAATTATATTGTTTATGTTACTTATGAAGGACCGATGAAGTCGGAGGACCAATTTGGGTTTCGAGGGAGAAGTATGTCATAGGCCTTCTGGGATAATGCAACATTAATTTGGTGGTACGAAGGAAAAGAATTTTGAGAAGGTGAAGCCTAGTTTGGGTTTTTTCTTCCCCCTTTTTTTCACCTTGATTTGGTTGGATTTGTTTCTTTTGTTGTAGATCACGCAAGATCTTTGTTTTTTGGGTATGTCAAGGACATTTAGTGAATGTTTAATTGGTCCAAAACTATTACTTCTCATGAGAGTTTTTTTTATTTATCAAAAACCTATATATATATATATATATATATATATATATATATAACACAACTATAGGAAAAAAAAAAAGACTCAAAGTAGTAGTTTAATTAAACGATAAATAAATGGTATGAGGAATACAATGCTAAATATATAATTTGCTTTATTTGACTTAAAAATTAATTAGGAAAAATAGATAATTTCAAATCTATAATTATCCTAAACCTGTGCTACTAAGTTTCATACATGAGAGTATCGATATAAAAGAATAAAGAATGAATCTGAAAATAATAATTTTGAGGGGGTCAAATGAATAGTCTATACGAGAGTCGAGAGTCTATAAACATAAGGGCTAAATTAAAAGACTTCAGGACTTTGAGAGTGACATGCCTCCCTCAAGGCATGCTAGTTCCGCTTGCGCCCCTGCATCTTATGGCATTCGTAGGCCAGCTACGGTGGAAGTGTGCAGCTCGTGATTGCGAGGCTATTGAACCATGATTACACAGCTATGCCACCTTTTTGTTTCATTACACAAAAGTGCGCTGTTCTTTGAAGTTTATTAGCGCCTTGAGTTACTTTTTTTTTTTTTTCCCCTTCTTTTTTGGTATATAGGATTCACTAGTTGCTTGGAGGCATCATGCACAGATCTGATAGAATAGGTAAAATTGTTTTATTTTAATCATTTTTGTTATGTCGTTGGTTTATTTAAATATATTAAATCAAATATAAGGAAAAAAAAAACAAATCACCCAATTTTATAACTTTTTAATCATAATTTTGTATTTAATTTATTCTTTTTTATATTTTTTATAAATTTTATGTTTGAAAAAAAATGACTTATTGATTTTTAGATAAAAACTTACAATAATCTAAGTAGAAATTGATTCTGACCATGACTTTCTTTCTCTTCTATTCTCCTTCATCATTTTTCTTTTTCTTTTTCTTTTTTTTTTATCTAAATATCAAACTTTAGTATAAATGAAATAGAAAATCGAAACAAAAAAAAATTAAAAACATCATAAATAGAAGTGTAATAGTGGATAAAACATGCATATAAATGCCTAAAAATCATTAAAATTAAATATTACTACACTATGAACATGAATTACAATCTACTGAGTCTTAGTGAACAATAACTTGTAACATGTAAGCTCTTTTAATTTTTCGTATAATAACAGAAGGACTTAAATCTCACTTTTAAACTGAAGCGAAAAATACACACTTAGGATGCATTTAGGACTGCAGCTGGTTTTTGCTACTGCAAGCTATTTAAAAAAATAGATGATGCTGAAAAGTATCTGGTAACAGTGGGGTTTTTAGCTTTTTTTAATATATATATATATTATGAAAGGCTTAACAATCTGATTCTTTCAAAAAAAAAAAAAACTTAAGCAAAAATAATTCCAACTGCATTAGCAAACAAATATCAGAATCATTGTAGGCCTTGATAGCAACCCTTTCATGTGGACTGCTTTCACTCTCATAAGAAAAAAAATCTAGTTACTACCGTAACGAGTCAATGGATATAAATTCTCAGTCAAATGCAGAACCCTTAATAAAAAATAAAAGAAGCTTTACTGAAGGGAATATCATTCAAGAGCATGCCTCATCTTTTAATTATTTTTAATTACAATCTTTATAAAAAATAAATGTTAATAATTACAAGGTCAAGCTATCTTTTGCCAATTTCCATAGCCTCCCAGTTTTCGAGTTAGGTTAGGTATGAAGAAGTGGCAGGTGGGTATTGTACACTTGGTTTCTCATTACCAGTGTTCAATTTATTATTGGATAGACTTTGATAGAATATGGAGTCATTAGAATTTTGAACTTCTTCTTCTACATCCTTATTTTGTCGCAAGTGAGATGCAATTGTGATTCTCTATCCCCTCCTTACAAAGGAACAACTTTTTGCTGGAAACACGGTGGTAAACGCAAGGGTGGAAATCCTCACTGTAGTGAAAGGACCCGCACACTGCATACATCATCATGATCTTCTTCATAGATGTATGTTTTAACCTCTATAATCACCTCAATTAATTATCACAATTAGAAATGACTTTGACCACTCTTTGTCTCCATTTTTTTTTTTAATCTCTATCTCTTCATTCGATACAAAGTTCTTGACTACGAATCCAGTCACCGTGGAGCATTTGACAAAATATTAAATATATCAAGAGTTCTACTTTATTTTTTTTTACAAAAACAGGGGATTTATTGTGAAAATAATTAATAGATCCTATGTTTTTGTGAGAAAAAAAATATAATTCTCCAATATATTGAATAATTCCTCTATAATATATAAAAAAATTGAGATTATCAATCCACATACTATTATAATCTTTTATATGCTATTTTAAGAACTTTTCACATAATTAAGACTATGTATGTTAATAATTTATTGTAATGAAATGTTCATTAAACCACCAAAGTAAAAAATAATTTTCAAAAACCTAAATAAAAATAATTTTAAAAAATAAAAAAAATTGAAAATTCAGAAAATGTAAAAAACTAAAAAGAAAAAAAGAATAAAAAATGTAAAATCCAAAACAAATGAAAAATGAAAAGACTATATCCATAAAAAGTGTCATCAGGCTCTCTATAGAAATTATTTTTATGTTTTATTTTTTATTTTTTGGTTCTTAAAAATTAATGATATTGTTTTCTTATATTTTTCAAGGTTTTTAATTTTTTTTTTTAATGTTTTCTAGTTTTTTTTTTCTTTTTAAAGTTCTGAAAATTAATTCTTGTATATTTCTTGGATTTTTTAAAATTAAATTTTCTTTTGGTAGTTTGAGGAGCATTTTAGCCATCAAAGAGACAAAACAAGGACTTATTAAAGATAATATTAATATACAAGATCTTCGTTGCATAAAAATCGGCAAATGGAAGAATAACTTTGATTATGACATTGAGATTGATTAATAGCTCCAAGTGTTCCAAATCTGACTTCTCTCTAAAGGTGAGTATTAGGATATTTTGGGTAAAATATTACAATTTCAATTTTTTTTAAATTATTTTTAAAAAATCACATTCCCTTAGAAAAAATAATTTTTTGATTCTCCAAATTACATTTTACCACCCATTTCCTCATCCCCCCCCCCCCCAAACCCAAAATTCCTTTAAAATTTTCAATTAACTACATAAAATTAGGCCTCATAAAAGTTGTTACTATGCAAAATTAGGTTTAAAAAAATTATAAGGCCGTAGGGTAAAGAACTCGGTCTAATAAATTATAAATAATTAAGAAGTCCAAGAGTTTAATCAGCAAGATAATGATCAGACATTTATTTCTATGCAAATAAACTTTAATCTCTCCATATTCTATGATTTTTTGCTGAAATTTTTGTTATGAAATTATTGCATTTATTTTAGAACTATAGAAAATGAATTTAAATTTATCGTATGTATATAAGATTTAAATTAAGTGAAGTTATTGATCTAGCGAATTAAATAAATAACGTGCAGTTTTCATAAAGAGGTTTCTTTCATTAGATACTTTTAATTTTCAGTTTTTTTTTTTTTTTTTTTTTTTAACTCAAAATTGGTTGTTGGGACAAGGCGAACTCACAAAATTTTTCGATTTGATATATTGAGAAGCCATTGATTTTTAGGCTACAAAACGGGGACGATTGTTTTCTTGATTATTCTTTATTACAAATAATAGGAATTTAACACTTCTTTGGTGATTGAAGCAGTATATCTTTAGAAAAAGAAATCTTTTAAACAATTTCTAACATTTCATAAAGGGATCAGATTGCAACTACAACAATGCTCATTTACTTAGCAATGGTGTGAATCCTTTCTAATCCAAATCCCCATGCAGTAGTGGTCGCTTACTCCAACTTTATATCAATTTTTGTGCCCGACTGCAATATAAGTATTCCGTCCAACCCCAAAAGTCATAGTCCATTTTTGACCTATTGTGACCTCGACAACAAGTGGGAAACAAATTTTGCAAACCTAGCAAGTTTTTGAGTATTTTAGTGAGATGATTAGACTAAAAGTTGATTGCAGCTCTTAAACTTGGGATACTGAAGTTTCTATTTTGTTTGAAAAACATTGAAATGGAGCTTCCTAGTTTTCAAAGATGCCGTTCCGCATCTGAGGACTATGCCCCTCAGTGATCATGCATGTTCCAATTTTGACCAAAATTTACCTTAAAAAAGGGAGCAACTACAAGTAGCTACAAAGTAAATGCATAGATTAAAGGAGTTCGGATGGGTAGGTCTCTAATTTTTTTAATGTTTTCTTTTGTAAGTTTTGCTGCTAGCTAGATAGGTCACTGATCAAATTTTTGACTTCAAGAAACTGATAATCCTATAGCAATAGTAGCAACAATGCCAATTGAGATGATGGAGTTTCTTGATCAAATATCATTTATGTCAATTGAGATCATGAGGCCGAGTCATGCTGAATTATTATTCTTCTATTTTATTGATTTTAGTAAGTAGGTCTTCCTAGTGATTGTTTTAGTCGAAAAAGCATGCCAATCTATATGTCCTCCCCACATGCAACCCAACACGCCTTCCCTTCATTTGGAGGTCTATGAGTGAGTTCATATTTACCAATTCTCCATACTAGCTTCACAAAATTATAAAATCATGAAAAAGATATTAAAGCAAAGCCATTAGCTTTGAAAAGCAGCCGAGAGAAGGATTGTGGAACATATCATTATATTTGGCTCAAATTGGATGCACATGGCTGAGATAATCATATTCCCTTTGTGTTCCACGTAAAAGGCTCCATATGCATTACTATAGGTATAGGGTAACATGACCTTTTATATCCGTGCGTATATTATCTATGTATATATAAATAAATAAATATAGCTATCTAGAGGGGATGTATGATCAGTTAGAATTAAACCTAGATATTGTACAATACTTATAGTATAATCCCTAACAATGAAGTTTAGTTTCTTAATAGAGGAGGAGGGGTATATACTCTTACCAGCTAGCTAGCTCATGTGTGTGGAGAGTATCACACAAATTATGTTTAAGAAGACAGTATCATCCCTTTTTAATTAACACTCGATCATTGAAGAGAAGAGAAAAAGACTAATTAAGAAAAAATAATCCAATCTAATTGTGTTAGGATGATGGGTACTAACAACCGAATGATCATGGGAATGATAGTTTGATTTGCTTCCATGTATTGAGCAATCATATGGTGCAGGGTTGGTCTTTGCGAAACCTTTTTGGGTTTGAATAAAGTACTTCTTCTTCTTCAAAGGCATGCATTCTCTCATGATAATAATAATAATAATACAAGTCATTTTTTGAGTACAATCCATGATTAGTCCCTGATTCAGTGATTTAATTAAGCAAGGCCCTTAATTAATTTATCTTTCTCAGAAGTTCACATGTGAGGAACTTTTATTTAGATATGCTAATTATAACTCATGATATAAGGAAATAAATCAATCACCAATTAGATGGAACTTTAGGAGAAGATGAACTTGCAAGAAAAGTACTTATTGAATGTGAGAGCCAATGATTGTTATGAAGCCATGCCCATTATTACATACTTCATTGGGTAGGGATAGATAGCGACTTAAAAAACATTCCTCTTGATCGATGGGCGCCCCATCTCAGCAATCTAGCTATTAACTCCAATTTCATGCTTTGCATTAACTAAATTAAGAGTTACAAATAATATAAAACGGAGAAAAGCAAATGTCTGAGTTAATCAGTACTAGTCTAGTATTTAATCTCTCATGAAATAGATCGATTGTATTTATTATGCTTTATAGAAACTAACCAACTAGTTTTTCTTATCTGTCTGTCAATCTATCTTTGGGAAAAATAAATAAATAAATAAATAAACTAACCACAGCAATATGTATGATTAAAAAAAAAAAAAAGTACACTGACCAATATGAATCCCATTTGATATTGGAAAATCGAAATGCTTTGCAAGTAATGAAAGTTCTAGCTTCCAACTGTCCGGGGGTAAGAATAATGATTGGAATTTTTTTTTTTTTTTTTGCCAAAAATGTCCCTAATGTAATTATATTATTATGATCCATTAATTTGAATTGGATTGTTACCTAAATATGCATAAAATAAAATATAAATATAAATATTTATACTTGATGCAAATCATCAATATATCTTGAGGCAACATTAAGATAAATTTATTCTTTTAAATATACGAAACTGATACAAGGATGTATATTTAAAATTGTTTGAAGAAAAAAACTAATATTAGTTGATAAATTAAAAGAAAAACTGTCTTTCCACATAAAAATTCTCTTTCAAATTAGCTAGCTAGGCAAGCGTCAATGGAATAATAACATTCAGTTAAAAAAATAATAATAATAAAACGATGGACATATTAAGTGATTAATATTAATTTGGTGATAAGGATACTGGTGGAATTCATTAAATTACCGGAATTCCATGCATCAGGCATATATGGGGCCACTCCAAGATCATTAGAAAGCATGAATTGAAGTCATCAATTATTATCATCATTTGGTAACGGAGGAAATGTTATTAATAATTTAATACTAGCCAGTATATAGTAATGTATGTATGCATTATGTATGAGGGGCAACTATGGTAATTAAATAAAGAAGGCATTTTTTTTTATTAAAAAAAAAAAAAAAGGTTGATAGTATAGCACAAGCATTAGCACAGTCTCTCCTAATTCCTTATTTAAACTGCCAACATGCAACGCCACATAAACAAGTCCTACAAATTATTCATTCTTCTCTTCTCTGGATCGTTTCTATCTAGTCTTGCACAACAAGAGAAGCACTACTCTTCCCCCTCTCTCTCTCACTACACACAGAATCTCCCTTTTGTTTTAGCACAAAACCGTATCTAAACCAACTTATATAGTTTATCTTCTTCTTTTTTTAATCATGGATTTAACTTACTTGACAAAAACCAACTCAACACCCTCTCCTTCCAAGACCAAAAGAAAGCAGCAGCAGCAGCAACAACAACAGAACCAACAAGAGCAACAAGAAGTAAGGTTCTTGGGGGTAAGGAGAAGGCCATGGGGCAGATATGCTGCAGAAATAAGAGACCCTTCAACAAAAGAGAGGCATTGGCTTGGTACTTTCGACACAGCTGAGGAGGCTGCCTTGGCTTATGACCGTGCAGCCAGGTCCATGCGGGGCTCCAAAGCCCGCACCAACTTTGTCTACTCAGACATGCCTCCTTCCTCCTCTGTCACTTCCATTATCTCACCGGATGAATCGCCACATGACATTTCAGCCCTCTTTTCTCCTCCTCCACTACACCATACTCATCAAAATGACACCAACTGCCAACACCTATTCTCTTCTCAGGATCAGTACCCCTTCAATGCTTATGCTTGTGGTAACAATAACAGCAACTGGTTAACAAGTGGAGAAGGTTGGGTTCAAGGATTTGGAGCTGGGCTTGGGGCTGGGACTGGAGATGGGCCTTCTGGGTCTTATGAGCCCAATAATCCTGGCAGTTTGGATGTGGCTATTGCGCCTAACAACTTCTCCAACAAGGACGATATTGAGCTCCCACCTTTGCCTCCGGATGTCAACTCCACCCGTTATGGGTCTGATATGGATCGTGGATTTTGGAATGACACAGGGTTTTTTGGGTTTCAGGCGGAACAGATAAATAGTGGGAATGGGCTTGCAGTTAGTGGGTCAAGCCTGGGTTTTGATTCAAATGACTTTGGGCAGCACGGCTCGCTGTTTGGGATTACGCCATCGGTATCGGATACGGTCGCGGACGGGTTTGATTTGGGTTCATCGTCTACCTTTTACCTTTAACTACTACAGTACACACATATTTATAAACCTACCTATCATAAAAATAATCAACTTCTTGGGTTGTTTTTGGGGTTGATGGTGTTTTTTTTCCTTCTTTTTGTAAGGTTTTTTTGTCTGTTGTTTTGCGTCGGAAATGTTAACGGTTTTTAGATATGTTCTGCAACATAGAGATGTAACCCTTCATTTGAAGCCTATTACATCCGTTAAGCATTAATTTCGATCAATGTATGTCTTTTTCTGGATTGTAAATGCACAACGACTTGCTTCATATAAATGCAATTCCATTGCTCAATATAATCTTTTTGTAAGTTTGTTCTGAATTTGATGATAACAATTACTGGATGATAATTTAAGAAATTAAAAAGAAAGAAAGGCTTAGCAATTGTATGGAAGATGAATATGTGATGCAGATGAAGTGAGCTAATTTCCTAATATAAATTATATTCTGAACAGCTTTTGAAACATATGATTTATATTATTTTTTAACATAAATTAAAATTTATGTATATCAAGATTTCGTATAGTTTGAATTTTTTTATTAAAACCTTAAAAAAATTTTCTATCAATTTAAGAGTTCTACTCTTATGTTTTTGTTGTTTCAGACCTAACCAATGACAGTTTACCATGAGTGTGTTCTAGCCAATGACAATTTACCACATTATCAATTCAATCACTCAATTTGGGCCCATCATAACACATGATAAGCTTTCATGGCTAAAACTAGCTATGTGTATTTACGTAACATATTACGATCGAAACAACAACAATAAGGGTATAACTTTAAATTGGACGAAAAAAAAACTTAGGGTCTCAATCAAAAAATTTCGAATGGTATGGGATCTCAATATTTGCAAAACTCTTTTTAAATATAAATCATTTGAATTTGAAATTTACATATATCTATAATACTTTGTATTTTTTTAACCAATTAGAAGATTTGTATAAGTCCATATTATCTTGTGTTTGATTTTTTTTAATTAATTAGAAAATAAAATTGGATAGAAAAATTTCGATATTATGTCAAAAAAATATATCAATCCAAAAACACTTTTTAAAACACCCTCTTAAGTGTTTTTTTTTTTTTTTAATTTGAAATTTATATAAGTCCACCACTCACTACATACCTAATGATTATGTTAGAATGGCAGAATACATAAAAGATATATAAGTCTACCACCCACTATGTACCTAATGGGATTTCCATATGTGCAAAAATCTTCTTAAATATAAATCATTTGAATTTGAAATTTACACATGTCTATACACTTTGTATTTTTTTTTATTTTTTTAACCAATAAGAAGATTTGTATCATTCCATACTATCTTGTGTTTGATTTTTTTAATTAATTAAAAAATAAAATTGGATAGAAAAATCCTAATACCATGTAAAAAAACAATATCAATCCAAAAACACTCTTCTCAAGTGTAATTTTTTTAATTTGAAATTTATATAAGTCCACCACTCACTACTTACCTAATGATTATGTTAGAATGGTAGAATACATAAAAGATATAAAATAGAGAGGCATAAAAGAAGATTTGTATAAATCCATATTATCTTGTGTTTGATTTTTTTTTAATTAATTAAAAAATAAAATTGGATAGCAAAGTTTCAATATCATGTCAATCTGTATCAATCTAAAAAAACTCTTTAAAACACCATCTCAAGTGTACTTTTTTTTAATATGAAATTTATATAAGTCCACCACTCACTACCTACCTAATGATTATGTTAGAATGGCAAAATACATAGAAGATATAAAGCGAGAGAGATATAAAAGAGGAGAGCTTTTAAAATGTAAGAAACTTCACTCATTGAATTCAAAAACATGTGAAGCCCTTTTATAAGCTCATATATAACGAACGCTTCCTAAAACATTGGCCACTAATCCATAACAAATCCATGTTGTGTATAAAGTAACTAAACTCCTAAAGACTAGAACAACTTGAACTAAAACACATAAATCAACTACAAAAACGTATTGAAAAATAAACCCATTACTTTTAACAATCCCTCCCTTAAATTGAAAGCTTTAAGGCTTTAGTTTACTTGCAGCCTCCTTCAATTAGAATTCTCCAAGGTGCAAACTCCTATTAACCTCTTCAAATTTTGAAAGGGTAAAAGCTTGAGAGGTTTAGTAAATATGTCGGCCGATTGCTCATCGCTTCGCAAGACTTCAAATTAATTATTCTACTATTGGTGAGATCTCTTAAAAAATAAAACTTGACATCAATGTGCTTGCTTCTTCCATGTGACATTGGATTCTTGGAGAGTTTGATTGCTAAGTTATTGTCACAAAAAATTATAGTAACTCCCGATTGTTTGAATTGCAGCTCCCTAAGAATTCTCCTTAGCCAAATAGTTTGACAAGCACAAGCTATTGCATCAATAAATTCAGCTTTTGTGCATGACAAAGTGACAATTGGTTGTTTTTTGGATGATCATGAAATCACAACTATGCCAAGCATAAAAATACACCTCGAAGTACTCTTTCTATCATCTTTGATCTCTTACATAGTCACTCGTCAATAAACCCGGATAAAATTGGATTTTCACCTTTCTTGTAAAATAACCTAAAATCTCTAGTTCTTTGCAAGTAACGAAGGATGTCTTGGGCGACTAACAAATGCATTTTTGTAAGATTCTCCATATATCTACTTATTAAACTAATAGAATACATTATTTCTAGTCTTGTTATAGTTAGATACATCAAATTGCCTACAATTTGTTTGTAAGGTATGCTTGTCTATTTTCTTCCCTCTATCATCTATGTTTAACTTCAAGCCGAACTCGGCTAGGGTGCTTATAGGATTACGGTCCTTTATCTTAAATCTATCCAAAATTTCTCCAATGTATTTTCTTTGAGAAATAAAAATCTCATCACCTCGATTTCACCACTTCTATGCTAAAAAAGTAATGTAGCATATCAAGATCGGACATTTCAAACTCATCCATCATTGACTTCTTAAATTCTTGAAACATGGCATCATAGTTTCCAATAAATATAATATCATCAATATACAAGCGGACAATAAGCATTTTCCCTCTATCTTCAATCTTAACAAAAAGTGTATGCTCATAAAGACATTTTAAAAAACCAATTTTCAAAAAATAAGTCTCAATGCGACTATACCAAGCTCGTGGGCTTGTTTTAGTCCATAGAGTGCTTTCTTCAATCTTCACATTCTATCCTTGTTTCCAATCTTAATATAGCCAGGCGAGTTGTTCCATAAATACTCGTTCCTCTAAGTATCCATGCAAGAACGTTAATTTGACATCTAGTTAGAAAATAGGCCAAGAATTTTATGTTACCAATGCAACCATCAATTTGATTGTGTCATGTCTTGCAACTGGAGAAAATTTTTTTGTATAATCGATCCCATATTCCTACTTGTATCCCTTGGGCATCAAGCGTGCATTATACTTATCAACTTCATCATTTTCTCGTGAGCTTTTTTTTTGAAGACCCACTTTACACCAATAGTGTGTGTCCTTTTCTTTTAATGGCATCAATTTCATCATCCATCATCTTTCTTCATTTTTCTTCTTTGAAAGCACTTTAAAAATTTATAGGGTCATAATTTGAAAATAAAGCAAAGTGAGTAATTAGATCTTCAATTTGGTCAACCCTAGTTACTCGATAATCGACATCCATACTGGCTTCTTTCGGACACGTTTTAGTTCAATTACTATATTATAAACTTCAACGACTATTGGAGCTGCATTTGGTGGAGTGAAAGTTATTGGAATTGAGTGTATAGGCTATTGCATTTCTTCTTTAGCTTCACTGTAAAAAAATATTGAAGTGAGTTGTTATTCATCCTAATTCTAAGTGCTCTCTTCATAAAAAATGACAACACTCTACTTATCATAATCTTGTTTGTTAGTGGATTGAATGATTTATATGCTTTGGATTCTTCACTTACACAAAGAAAAGATGCATATTTTTTGCTTTGTTATCAAACTTCTTTCTTTTCTCATTCAAATGGGCATATGCGATGTATCTAAAAAATGTGAAGAGATTTGCGGTTGGTCTTCTCCCACTCTAGGCCTTCTCTTGAGTCATATTTTGAACATAAAAGGTTAGACTTCTCTTCAAAACATGAATGCTCCAATTAACTGTTTTTGGCCAAAAAGTCTTTGGAATTCTTCCTCTTACCAACAAGCTTCTCACCATATTGAGGATGGTTCTATTTTTCTCTTCGATACACCATTTGTTATGTTGTATATATTGTTGTAAGCTCTCTTCGGATGCCATGATTTTCACAAAAAACTTTAAATTTTTTTGAGCAACATTCGCCTCAATGATTGGTTCAAAGTGGTCTTAATGGTTGTTCTGCTTCATTTTCCACATGAGCTTTGAAGTTTTGATCGTTGAAAAAGCTTCTAATTTTTTTCATAAAAAATAAACCCAAGTTTTTCTTGAAAAGTCATTAATGAAGGTAATCAAGTATCTTTTACCTCTATTAGATGATGGTTTTATAGGACTACAAATGTATGAATACACCAACTTTAAAACATCCTTTGCCCTTTATGACTTTCCTTTGGGAAATTAAGAACGATGACATTTGCTAACAACATATTCTTCACAAACTTGGAAAAGAATAGTAATCCGAGGAAGACCTATTACTATATGTTTTTCTATTGAAGGGTCTTCAATCCACCATAACTCGAGTGGTCGTAACGAAAATGCCACAACCATGAGGGATCTTTCATTTTAGCCATCAAACAAGATTGAATACTTTCAATCTTTAATGAAAATAATATGTTTGAGCTCATCTTAATCACTCGCAATGGCACCTCTAAAAGGATCATAAATTTCACATGCATCCTTCATAATAATGATAACATAGCCTTTTTCTTGTAATTGACCAGCACTTATAAATTACTTTTCGGATCGAGAACATACAACATTTTAGAAATCATTTCCATAAAACCATTCTTGATTCTTATCTTACTATCACTTTTCCCTATCATATTCATAGTAGAACAATTAGCT